AGGGATGGTTGTGTTCTGTTGGAGGAATAAATCAGCTGTTGGAATTAGGGTTTTTCCCTGAGTGAAGAGAATGTGATCCCATTCTACCTCTCACAGTGCTTCACAGTCTACAAACTACTTTCACAAATGAGCCCATTTTTTTTTCTTGTTATGCTAACCTTGTGAAGTAGATAAGGACAAGTATAATTAGCCCCATTACACAGATGAAGGAGCTGAGGCACAGGGAGTTTGAAATTTGCTAAAGGTCACCTGGGTAGTTAATTACAGAGCTCGGAGACAGACAATCTTGATTACAAGTTCAGCGCTCTTTTTATTCTACCTTGGGGCCTCCCTTTTCAGCAGTGCCCACCTCACAATATTTGACAGTGGTTTACACAGATAAAACTGTATCTCCCTCAATGTTACAAAGGCAAGCTTTCTATGGATTTTATTGGTGTCCAGCAAAACAGTAAGTTAGTCTTGTGGCATTTTTCTTCAATTTAGTTGTACATCTTTATTGTCTAGTGGTGCGAATTCACCTAAGCTTAGCTCTTAATATTCAAAATAGAGAGGAAGCTGGGAATCTGGAGCAAAGAAATACACACTGGAGAAAATGAAGACAAGGGAAAATATCCTTTTTAATCATGGACCTATCTCCAAGCAGGCTACTCAGCCTCTGGGGTTGTAGGGAGACTAACCTAATACAGTTCTTCTATCCCATCCCGTATTCTAGAATGGTGGTACAGAGAGAGCCAGCAGGTTGGAGGTAGAAGTTTAAAAATTACAAATTAAAAAAAAGAAAGAAAGAAAGACTTAGAGAAGCTTTAACTTCCTGGCAGCATCTCCAAAGAGGGGTACCCTTTGGTCCTGTGGTCAGTGGAAGCAGTGTCTGTCTTTAGACCTGGTTGGTTGACTTTCATGAGTTCCCAGTACTGGAAGTGCCCAGCACAAAGTGCTGGAAGATTTTTCTGAAGCTCCCAGCTGCTACAACATAACCCTCGATGGAAAAATGTTTTTGTTGGGTGTATGGAAGACTCATCAGTCTTCCGTCTCAGCACTGCCAGTTCTTACTGTCTAACATATACGAAAGAGAAGGAAAATGGTACTTCTCAAAACAAAACTAAAATAATAGCAGGAAATTGAGCCCTGGGTTTAAAAGCTCATAAGATATCATTTCCAGGGAAAAGGAACCACTCCGCCTTTTCTTTCTCTTGAGGCTTTTCTGTTTTCATAGTTTCTCCTAGTTTCATGACACATATTGTCCCTTCAGTGTTATCAGATAGTGCTTCTAAAACCTTACCTAGCCTATGATCAGTGTCTTTCTTCAGTTTCTAGCAAATTGATTGTGGATAAGACAGGTACACAGGGCAGGTTACTGGGGGACAGGTTAGAGGGAACTGACCTTGGAGACTGCATTTCACGTTCTTTTGACACTACTGGCCATAGTTCTGTACTTATCCACTAAAAAGTAAACTGGAAGTTCAAGTCTTTAGTTATTTCCTCCCTGAGAGATGGTGTTGGTTGAAATACTAAGTGAATAAATGAGCAAATGGAAGGAAGATATTAGCTGAAGCTGCCGTGAAGAGAGAGGTAGAATATGGGCCTGGCCTTGGAAGGGGGAGAGTCTTCATTCAGTGGCCATTTGTATATTGGCCTTGCACTACGCTATCAGGCCAACGCCCTGAAGACCTATTCTGAAATTTCCACCTGCCTGCACTTGTTGACTATGGCCATTTCTGTTCACTACCTAATCAATGAGTAACAAGAATTCCTCTTCCTCATCCCACAATAGCAAATAATAGTATTTACTCAAATAATAACAATTTTTCCTAATAAAAGAGCCCCCAGAAAAGCTACTTGGCGATCACTCTGCTACCCACGTTTCTGCCCTGGCATTCTGACAATAGTAGGTATGATAATAAACTTAGCCAACACATGCATGGAGCTGGGTGTGGTGGCTCATGCCTGTAATCTCATCACTTTGGGAGGCTGAGGTGGGTGGATCACTTGAGGTCAAGAGTTCAAGACCACCCTGGCCAATATGGTGAAACCCTGTCTCTACTAAAAATACAAAAATTAGCTGGGTGTGGTGGTGCATGCCTGTAATCCCAGCTAATCTGGAGGCTGAGGCAGAAGAATTGCTTGAATCTGGGAGGTGGAGGCTGCAGTGAGCTGAGATCATGCCACTGCACTCCAGACTGAGTGACAGAGCTAGACTCTGTAAAAAAAAAAAAAATATGCGTATATATATATACACACATATATATGTATATGTGTGTATATCTATATGTATATATATGTGTATATATATATATATAGGGACTCTCATTAGGATGGCTATTACAAAAAAAAAGTTGGCAAGGACATGGGGAAATTGGGACACTTGCGCATTGCTGGTAGGAGTGTAAAATGATACAGCTGACGGGGAATCTTTATGGCAATTCCTCAAAAAATTAAGCAGAATCACCATATGATCTAGCAATTCCCTTTCTGGGTATATATCCAGGAAGGAAAGCAGGTACCCAAACATATTTGTACCCCCACTTGCCTGCAGCACCATTCACAATAGCCATAAGGTGGAAGTAACAAGTGCCCATTGATGGATGAATAGATAAATAAAATGTGATGTATACATACAATGGAATATTATTCAGCCTTTAAGAGAAAGGAAATTTTGACACTTGCTACAACATGGATAAACCTGGATGACATTATGCTAAGTGAAATGAGCCAATCACAAAAGGACAAATACTGTATGATTCCGCCAACATGAGTTTCCTAGAACAGTCAGGTTCATACAGAAAGGGAAATGGTGGTTGCCAGGGACTGTGGGGAATGGGGAAGAGTGGGGAGTTAGTGTTTAATGGGTACAGAGTTTCAGTTTGAGAAAATGACAAAGTTCTGGTGTTGAATGGTGGTGATGGTTGCATACAATGTGAATATGTTAATGCACATGACTGCACACTTACAGACAGCTAAAATGGTACATATATGCTATGTTGTTGTTTTTTTTTTTTTTTTTTTTTTAGACGGGGTTTTCTTTTTTTTTTCTTTTTTTTTTTTTTTTTTTTTTTTTTTTTTGAGACGGAGTTTCACTCTTGTTACCCAGGCTGGAGTGCAATGGCGCGATCTCGGCTCACCGCAACCTTCGCCTCCTGGGTTCAGGCAATTCTCCTGCCTCAACCTCCTGAGTAGCTGAGATTACAGGCACGCGCCACCATGCCCAGCTAATGTTTTGTATTTTTAGTAGAGACGGGGTTTCACCATGTTGACCAGGATGGTCTCGATCTCTTGACCTCGTGATCCGCCCGCCTCAGCCTCCCAAAGTGCTGGGATTACAGGCTTGAGCCACCGCGGCCGGCCTGCTATGTATTTTTTTTAAACCACGATTAAAAAATTGGGGGCGAGTGTTGTGGGTCACACCTTTAATCTCAGCACTTTGGGAGGCCGAGGTGGGCCAATCAGTTGAAGTCAAGAGTTCCAGACAAGCCTGGCCAACATGGTGAAATCCTGTCTCCATAGAAAATACAAAAATTAATTGGGCATGGTAGTGCACATCTGTAATTCCAGCTACTTGGGAGGCTGAGGCAGAAGAATCCCTTGAACTCGAGAGGTGGAAGTTTCAGTGAGCAGAGATCGCGACACTGCAATCTAGCCTGGGCAGCACAGTGAATGAGACTCCGTCTCAAAAAAGTAAAAATTAAAAATAAAAATAAGGCAGGCAGAGGGTGGAATTATATGGAAGAGACAAAATATATTAATTTGTTTAATGCTTCACTAATGGACTGTTCTATTCTCTTCTTTTCGAGAAGCCAGATTTTACAAAGGGAGACTTTCAGAAGGCAGATGTGGTGCGGTTTTTTGTTGTTGTTTGGGAAGTGTATCTTCAGTGGGTTATTAAGATTCTGACTGTGGCAGGGACTGATGTCTATTTTCCATGGCAGGCTCAGCCTTAGCCATTACCACAGAGATCCTGAGCTCTGCCTTGACAGTGTCAGGCATTCAACAAATGTTCACGGATTTAAATGAAATGATGTGCCTTATTTTCAGTTATATGACCTGAAAGAGTCTTTGTTTGGTTTTGTTTTTCAAAGTACAGGAATAAATCAATAGAATTGAAAGGGTTTTGAGCCAGCTCCACCCATCTCTACCCAGGAATGGAATCATCTTTTAAAACTTGAATTTAACAGTTACATAGCACTTACTGTGAGCCAGAGACTATCCTAAAGGCTTTTGATAGATATATCAACTCATTTAATACTAATAAGCCTATGCCGTTAGGTACCATTGGTTCCCATCTTACAGATAAGAAAACTGAGGCACAGAGAAGGAAAGTTATACGACTATTAAAGTAGTGGACCTGGGATTCCAACTGAAATACCTTGTGGACCCAGAGCTCATGCTTTTAGTTACTGCACACCTGACTTTTTTAAAAATAGTAATGTACGAGACTGGGACTTTAATGACCCTGAAGTGGATTTCAAGGTCCAGAATGGAGAGTGGAAATTGGGGATGAAGATATTCCTTGATTATGATCCTGCCTCTCTACTCCAGCAACCTAGTTCGGTCCCTGAGATTTAATGCTGAAGCCACGGTAAGGGGCTTGTAGGTTTAAGGTCAAATTTTTTGAACCTAAGGAATTTCCCTCCAATTCTGTAGCAGCCCCTTAGTGACGAATCTGCTGTCCATCCCACGGGTTTTGCTATTAGAGGATTTTCTAGGTGATCAAGGCAGACGAGATGAAACACTATTACACTAACACTGACCAACGCTGAACCCTATGTAAATCTTTTTTTCTAGACTTTCTAAGATACGGCCCAAGACGAATCTGCAACTCTGGAGTGGAAGCCAGGGGGCGGGCTAAGCAGCGACCATTTTTGTTTTGCGGCCGTGCGCTCTCAGAACATCTTGACTAACAGGACCTCACGGTGAAGGTGGAGCCTATCAGAGAGCAGGGCGGGGCCTCGGAGACGTGATGATTCAAACTGGCTAATGATCTGGGCGCATCTGGCAGAAGTCGCCAATGAGCGGGCGTGTTGGGGAGGAGCGCACAAACGCTAGTGGGTTTGGTTGCACGGCGGCTTTGGCGCATTTTCGGCTGGTTTGATTCATCCATTTTGAAGAGACGGGGGAGCGGGGGGCTCGTCTGTTCCAGGGGCCCTGAACCAAAGAGCAGCGGAGTTTGAGAAGCCTGCAGCTCGGGGTTCGGCGGCAGCAGTCCCATCGGCTGAAGTTCGGGGGGGGTGGGGCGCCGAGCGCGCGGGGTGGGGGGGGTCCTGGTCTTTGGCTTCTCGACTCGGTCCTGTTTCGACAGCGAACATGTCGCGGCCTGTCAGGTCAGTGCGGAGTCTGAGGCCTGGAGCGGGTTGGAGGGGGCTGGGGGCGAGTGGTGAAAGAGTGGGGTACAGAAAGCTAGAGTCGTCCATCCCTGGTGCCACGCGCGGCCTCCTCCCTGTCGGGGCCCGCGCGCACCCTGGAGCGTGGGGGGCTCTGCTGGCGCGCGGGGGTGGCGGCTGCGCGCCTTTGCGCGCGCCCCTCCCCGCCCCGCGCCGCTGCAGGGCTCCGGTCTGCTCAGTTGCCTCCCCCACCCGTCGCACTGGAGCGGGCGGGGCGTCCCTGAACCGCCAGCGGCCGAAGGGGGAGGGGTGTGAAGTCAGCGCCCCCAAGAGGCCCCACCTCCTCGGGGCCGTCCCCTCGGAGCCAGCGCGGTGAGGCGGGCGGACTGGAGCTCCGCTCCCCGCCTTCAACGAGGAGGGGCGGAGGTACCCGTAATGCCCCTTCCCCCCGCGATTGGCGCGGGGGTGGGGGCCCTGAGCCCTATTTCTCTAGCGGACGGGGGTGTTCCAAGCAAAAAGGGAGGGGCAGCACTGCCACCGGGCCGCGAGTCAGTACTTCGGGTCGCTGCAGGCCCCGCCTCCCGGATCGGGCCGAGCGTAGGCGGGACCCGTTTTTACTCCCCCCCGGGCAAAAGTGAGAGTTCGGGACTGGATCCTGGAAAATAATGGGCTGCTGCCTCACTCCCCACCTCAGAGTTTTGAGAGAGTTAACCCCAAAGTTCGCTCTTTCTCTTGGACTAGAAATGTCCTTCCTCGGGGGAATGTCAGTATTCAGGGAGGTGCGGGTTAACAGCACGGCCCAAATCCCGTGTGGTTCTCGTTCCACTCTCACCCGCGTACGCGTCTCGGGATATTTTTGTAACCTCTCGTCCCCGAGTGACTTTAGTATTAAAAGGGCTAGGTTCGGGTAACCATCAGACTTCATTCTCGAAATTTCAACAAGTTTGCTGTTCCCCCCAGTGGTCGGTGGAATCGTCCTGTGCCATCCTCCAGGCTATTGTATGGAATGTGCCATTTATGGAGGGGTGTGGTTTAGTCCAATCTGTTGAGGCCTTAAAAAGGAGAGCTGTTGCAAATAAATATTACTTTTAATGTAAGGAATTGGCTTCTTTGCATAGTGTGTTTTCTGAATAAATAGATAAAGGCTTAGTTTTTAAATCTTTTAACAGTTGTTGCTTCCCTTTCATTCCAAGTTGTGTGGGAAATGGAAGTATCTTTAATTAGAGTTCAAAAGAGAGGTTTGGGACCCTGGAAAGGGTTTTGTTCTACACTGTGCTGTCTCCAGACTAGATCATCCTCCAGCTGGTGGTGGTATGGGACTGCGTACTCCTACACACGGGGTGGGAATGCGGAGAAAGAGCTGCTGCAGCTTCAACCAGTATCCGTGGTAACTCACTATATCTACTATGAAAAGTATGCTGGCCTTTTGGCAAGGAGTGTGGATAGCTCTTTCAGAGTATAGTATACATAACTTTTTTTTGGCATAAAACTTGACGGATTTATCCCATCAACTTAATGGAATGTTTTCTTTAGGATCAGGTAAAATGGACAATAAAATAAAGATTTCTTTTATGTGGAATGAATCTTTTGTCTTCTGGAAGTAATTAGTGTGTGGTCAAATTAGGTTATTTTTCTCCACCTTTTAAACTTTAGTTCACCAAGTTTTGATCTTATTTTATTGTAGTGACTTTCTTATCTCATCTGCCTGAATTTGTTTTTCCAGATTTAGGTATTGGAACGTGAACAGAACATTTTTACTGGAAACTTGGATTTTTAATATTACCATGTGGGGATATATATATATATATATATATATAGCACATTCTATCAGTGTTTTTGCAGGCATTGGGATTTTTGGACAACTTTTTTCTTAGTGTGTTGTTTAAAATAATTTTGACCTTGTTTATTGCCCCTAATTGAAGAGTGATGTTTATATGTTGTGGGGGTTTTTATTTTTCTGTGTTTTTTTTGCCATTTTCAAATTACTAATTTCAGAGCAAATTGGTTACTGGATATATTTTAGTCGTAAATTCTCTTTGTAATTATTTTTTAAAGTAAGTCTTTATTCATGACCAATAATAAAGCAGAAATAATTAAACTTGAGTTTGGTGGTTTGTTAAATTTTGCAATAAAATCCTGACTTAGGGAAATACTGTTGTTTCAAAGTGTAATTGAAGAATCTATATTACCTTAGTGCATTTAACATCAACAAAAAAAAATGTGATAGACATTGACCTGATTTCAGAACAGCCTTGTTTTAAAAACAACAAAAAAGCACAAGTTAGAAAATATTGTCACTCTGTCTTCTCTTGGGGTATTTCTGCCCTTAGGCCTTTGTATAATTTTGCAGTTTTTCTGGTTCTCTTTTTACCATAAGTATTCGTTTTTATTTTAATATAAACCTAAACATTTTAAGAGCATTTGGAAATGTACTAATGGCACCTTAACATCAATTTCCAAATGAAGGGTATGGTGGGCCTGTTGGCTACTGCATGATTTTAGATAGACCTGTGTCTAGCACGTTATGTTTAAGTAACTTTGTTCATGCAAGATTGCTGTCTTTACCCTTTACAGCGGCTGCCTTCTAAATGAGAGCTCAAACATTTTAGACCTTGGATTCAAATTAATAGCTTAAAATGACAGTCTTGGAGCTAGGAAGAGGTTTAGGCAAACTCACTTTATTAAAGCCAGTTTAACGGGGACCTGAATAAGTGAGGTGCCTTGCGTCACACACTAGCAGGTGCAAACGTGGGGCGGAGACCCTAGATTTCCCAATTCCAGTTCTGCTTGTCCCCACCCTCATGATCTCTGTACCTTCTGCCCAATCAATATTAAAGTTAATGCTGATTAAAGAACATAGTGTATAACATTTTTAACTTTTCAAAGTGCTTTCATGAGTCAACTTTGTGAGGAAGGAAGAAAAATGCCATTACTTGTAAGAGGTGAGAAAGAAAGCTCAGATTTAGTGACTTGCCCAGACTAGAAACCAGATTTCTTGAAATACAGCTTTGTTACACTCTCCAGAGAGCCTCCTCCCTTACTGAAAGTGATTCAGATTGCTCAAATTAATCTTTTTGCTTTTCTTTGTAACCTAAGTGTATTTGATACCTTGTTTTTTGTTTAACACTTGAGATTATCAGAAACCTTACTATTGAAAATTTAGATGTGAAAACATAAGCACTTACAAGTGGTTATAAAATTTATTTTATTGTTTGTCATGTTTATAAGTAATGTTGAGAACAGCTTTCCCAAGATTCCAGTTTGCTTTTTTTTCAAAGAGAATTGTTTGGGCCATGCCTGGATTCTAAAAATTAATATTCTCTCCCCCAAAACAATTTGTTTCAAGAAGTCCCAGAAACTTGAAAAGGGAAAACCTAAAACTTGAAAGTTCAAGTTCAAAATTTGTTATCAAATGTGTACACGAAGACACAAGTTTAATATGGTTGTAGATGAGACTGGCTCATTCTCTTATTCTCTGTGTGTGCGTGTGTGTGTGTGTGTGTGTGTGTGCATGTGAGAGAGAGTGTTAACCTTGGATCTATGCTTTTTTTTAATTACATGTCACTTTCCTCTAAAAAGACATTCCTTCAATGATAAGCCATCAAAGATACCTTACATAATTTAATTTACAAATTTATTTATTTATTTATTTGAGATGGGGTTTCCCTCTTGTCCCCCAGACTGGACTGCAATGGCGTGATCTCAGCTCACTGCAACCTCCACCTCCTGGGTTCAAGTGATTCTCCTGCCTCAGCCTCCTGAGTAGCTGGGATTACAGGCACCCACCACCACACCCAGCTAATTTTTGTATTTTTAGTGGAGACAGGGTTTCACCATGTTGGCCAGGCTGGTCTTGAACTCCTGACCTCAAGTGATCCTCCTACCTTGGCCTCTCAAAGTGCTGGGATTATAGGTGTGAGCCACCGCGCCTGGCCAGGAAGTTAATATAAGAAAAATACTCACTTTTGCTCAACATACATGTAATTAATTATCTGAAAATTACAATACAATGTTTAAAATGTTTTTTTTTAATCACCATATAACATGATAAGCTTAAAGAATATGTTACTGTTATAGAACTGTAATAGCAGAGCTAAGGTTTGAACCCAGACCTGAATACAAAACTAGCATTTTTTCCATGGTACCAGTCTTTCTTGCCTAGTATTCAGTGTGAAGATGGTCAAGTTTTTTTTATTTTATATCTCTTCGATGGTGGATATTCTATATGCGTTTTTAGCGCTCTATATAAAACATTATAGGAAAAACAGCCAAAATGTTTAAGATGAGCATTTTTGCTCAACTCAGCATTTAAAATAATTTTCAGAGTTCCTTTTTTGAGACAGAATCTGTCTCACTGTCACCCAGGTGGGAGTTCAGTGGTGCGATCACAGGCTCACCGCATCCTCTACATTTCATACTCAGGTGGTCCTCCCACCTCAGTCTTTCCAGTAGCTGGGACTAAAGTTGTGGCCCACCACATCTGGTTAATTTTTTGTAGGCAGGGTTTTGCCGTGTTCCCCAGGCCGAGAGAGGAAATTAAAAGCACTAAATTAAAAAAACAATAAGAAGTCCAGTTCCTTCTACTAGTGATGACTGTAAACCCAAGGAGTTAAAGTGTAGAGATAATAGCAAGGCTGGATTGAGACTGCATAAGTTTTAGCCGTTCTCCTTTTTACTATTTGTATTTACGGTATTTGATTCTACAAAGAATGTATTAGAAGTCCACATTCCTAGTTTGAAATCATTGGGGCCATATGTGTTTTTAAATTTTTTGAAAAACTGGGAATTCCCAAAGGTAACAGGATGCATGTACTGTATAGTAGTAATGTACCATCGCTAGTTTAGGGTAGAACTCCTATAAACACTTTTATAGTTCTAATGAACTGAGGAATTTTCACACTAAGACTGTAAAAAGCCTCATATTTAGGTCATGTTTTGCCACCATGTAAGTTATGAAGATTTTCATAACTTTTTGGATTTCTAAATTGTTGGTTAGTGAT